TTGATATACTGAGAACCTACAAGATGAAGATGAATCTTGAAAAGTGCATTGTTGAAGTTAGTTCAGGAAAATTCTTAAGCTTCATGGTCAACAAAATGGGCATTGAGGTCAACCCAAACAATATCAGAGCTATCTTGGAGATGAAGTCCCTAGCCTCTGTGAAGGAAGTCTAGTGCCTTAACCGGAGGATAACAACCCTCAACAAACTTGTCTCAAAGTCAGTGGACAAGTGTCTGCCTTTCTTTAAAATCCTCTGTAAATTTTTCTAGTGGGGATCAAATGCAGAGGATGCCTTCTAGAAGCTAAAGGCCAACCTCGTTACACCCCTTTGCTCTTCCATGTTGTACTAGGAGAGACCTTATACCTCTACCGCTCCTCCTCATCCTCTATTGTGAGCTCCTTCCTTGTCAAGGAGGATAGAGGCATCCAGAAGCCCGTGTACTATGTAAGTAGGGCATACCAAGGGGCAGAGGTAAGATACTCAGAGCTTGAAAAGTGAGCTCTCGCACTTGTGACCATAGTCAGGTGCCTACGCTACTACTTTTAGAGTCATACCATCGTGGTTATTACAGGTCAACCACTCAAGAGAATTCTGGGGAAGCCTAACGTGTTCAGCCGACTACTCAAATGGGTCGTCAAGTTAAGTGAGTTTGATGTACAATACTAGCCGAGGGCGATCATCAAAGCGCAAGGAGTAGCACACTTTGTGGCTGAGTTTACACCACCATAGAAATCCCAAGAAGGAGTACCATGTGCCTCTGCGCTAAGCTGTTCAATACATAGCACCTCCAGCAACTATAAGGCAAGCCCAAACATTATCCCTAGAAAGCCTGATACCTTAGATAGCTCCTCAGGCCCCTAGAGATCGCACTTTGAGGCTAGAAGCGCCTAACTCCCTTGTACCTGCTCTACTAGGTCCCTCAATGCCCTCACTACTCATACCTCAACATGTTTTACTCTCATCTTAGTGTCTTGCTGCGCCTAGGAAAACATCCTCTACTAGCACTATACCATGCTAGAAATTGTATGTTGATGAGTCCTCCACTAGCGAAGGCAGCAACATGGGACTGGTACTGATCATCCCCCGTGGCACTCCACTTAAGTACATTGTCTCCCTCCACTTCGTAGTATCAAATAACCAAGTAGAGTACGAGGCTCTCATATCGGGCTTGAAGCTTGCAAATGAGATAGAAGCCCTCTGTCTGACTGTCTATAGTGATTCACAACTGATAGTTAACCAGGTGAGAAGAGATTTTGAAGCGAAGGAAGAAAGGATGCAAGAGTACCTGTTAGTGGTCAAAACTTTGTTAAAAAGGTTCACTTACTTCCAAATCTACCATGTGTTCAGAGAGGAGAACGCCATGGTAGATGCCCTCACCAAGTTCACATCTGCCAACATACTCATAGACCCAGTATTGATAGGCCACCAGTTTGAGCTGAGTAGGCTCAAGTCAGAAAAGGACGACGTTAACTGTACATCCACCAAAGCCAATTGGATGACACTCATCCGAGCCTACCTAGAAGAAGGCACTCTCCCAGACTACCCAGTGGAGGCCAAAAAGATAAGAATGAGAGTGTCCAGTATGTCATCTTACACAACACACTTTATAAAAAGAGTTATTCACTGCCATTTCTCCGATGTCTCAACCCTGAGGAAGCCGATTATGCCATGAGAAAAATCCACGAAAGAATATATGGAAATCACTTGGGATGGTGTACATTGGCCCACAAAGCAGTAAGGTAAGGCTATTACTCGTCTAGCTTGATTAGGGACACCCAAGAGTTCGTCAGGAAGTGCAATAAGTGTCAACGCTTCGTAACTGTGCCCAGACAGCCACCAGAAGAGCTCATCACCATTCAGAGCCCTTGGTCCTTCTCTATGTGAGGGATCGACATCCTAGGTCCCTTACCTATGAGTCGGCCAATTCAAATTTGTAGTGGTAGCCATCGACTACTTCACTAAATGGGCAGAATTCGAAGCCTTAGCCAGGATAACAGACCAGAAGGTGAAAGACTTCATCTGGATGAGCACAATCTGTCGCTTTGGAGTAACTCGCGCGCATAGTGAGTGATAATGCTAAACAGTTTGACAATAAACTCCTTAACAGCTTCTGCGCTGACCTACAGATAAAGTAGCTCCACTTTAGCCCAGCCCATCCACAGGCGAACGGACAAGCGAAGGTCACTGTCAGAACTGTCCTCCACAACCTGAAAATCAGATTGGAGAGTGCAAAAGGATGATGGGTGGATAAAGTCCCAAGAGTACTATTGGCTTACCGGAGAACATCAAGAAGCCCCACGGGTGAGGCCCTTTTCTTCCTAACATATGGGACAGAGGCGATCATACTCGTTGAGATTGGGGTACACTCTCTTAAAGTCCAAAACCATGACCCTACCACTAATGAAGAAAGTCTCCGTATCAACCTCAACTTTGTAGAATAGGAGAGGGATATAGTCATGTTCAAGAATGTAGAGTACAAGTGTCGCATGATCAAGTACTACAACTCGAGGGTGAAACCTCATTTTTTCTTGCCCAGGGACCTAGTCTTCAAAAAGGTCATCCTATCTACCAAGGACTCTCGGGACAGGAAGCTAGGACCTAACAGGGAAGGACTCTACACAATCACAGAAGTTGTAAGACCGGGCACCTATATATAGAATTCAGAACTTTGAGGGGAAAGTTCTAGCCCATCCATGGAACGCAGAGCACCTAAAGAAATATTACCAATAACTGAGGGCAAGATAGTAGGTGTACAAGTCAGTAGTCACAATTTAAATTATCTCTTGTTGTTTTGATCAATTTTTATTGTTATTTATTTCAAATTATGAAATAAAATTTCACAAGACTTTGCCTTTTTCAAAGTTGTATCTCATTCCATAGAAATTCATAAACTATTTACAAAAGATAGAACATACCTAGCAACACAAATACGTAGATATAAATACCATACTCCTGACATCACTCACTATTCCTCGATCCGCTCCCATCAAAGCTCTTCTCCTCGTCATCAGTCCTTGGAGCCTCATAGGGGACGAAACCAAAAAAGTCATAGGCAGGAAAAGCCGTTGAGACCTTCCCTTTATGCTCTTCATAGCCATCGATAAAGGTGTCTGCCACAGCCCTCTCGGTAGCATCTCTCTTTTTCTTCATCTCAACGTAGTAAACCTCTACCCTGGTAGCTCTCTCAAGAGCTGCTCGAAAGGTAAGCCTCTGCTACGGTAGCCCTCTCTCGAGCTACCCCGTAGCTCAGGCTCTGCTCCAGCGACCCTATCACAGGACGTTCGTAGCTCTGTCTCTACTTTCGTGCAGGTAGTCTCTCTGTTAGCCTCTACCTGGGCAGTTCTCTTACGGGATGCCATAAGCTCGATCTCTAATGGGGTATCCCTCTTATGTGCTAGCCTCAATCGTTCCTTGGCAGCCTCTCACACCTACCTCTATAGCCCCAACTGCTCCTCAGCAACCCTTCGTGCTTGCCTCTCTGCCGCCTGAACACTAAGTGTCTCTCTAAGTTGTATCATACTTGAAAGCAGGAAAAAACAATAGCCACCTATAGACATTCAAAAGGCAGAACATGAAAGAAAGAAGCCAGGTACAAGATCAAAGATGAGTAAAAGGCATACTATAGCAAAACCCTCAATCGCATTGTTAATGATGCCCTCCGGACCTCGAAAGCTAACCTCTTGGATCTTCACGACGATCATAAACCCCCAAAGTTGCTCCTTGGCCAGATTCATGTCTTGCAGCATGGACATTGAACAACTGCTAGAATTAGGACAACTAGGTGGAGCCTCGGTCCTCAAAAGAGATCGTGCTAGGGCCTCAATCCCCACGATCGTACTAGGACTAGCTTTGGGGGGTAAAGGAACAACAACCAGCTCCCGCCTCTCGAGGACTAACCTGGCCAACAGACCTCGGCTGAGAAATACTAGGGACGTCAGACTTCACCCTCTTAGAGGAAGGAGGGGAAGACACCACATTGGAAGCGTAAAGAGCCTCCACCATCGTTCTACCAACAGAGGTACCTACGGACTTGGTGTGAGACAGAAATCTTACAACGTCACAACCATGAAAAGTCTATTGGAAGGATAAGATACCTTTCCTCTTTGGCCTATAGGAGACTTTGGGTTGACCTAATGTGGACATAATCTTTAAAAATTCCTTGAAAGGATGGTCATGCACTACCTGGAGTCTATTCTCATGCTCCGCAGATAATGTGGGTGAAGCTACAAACAAACCAATCAACGGTAAGAATATATATGTGACGACTACACATAAAAGCAAATGTGGAATTCTTACCTAGCTTGGTCCTCAGAATGGTAACCCACCTCGAAGGCACAAGGTCATGGTCTCCCTCGGTGGCCCACTCCCCTCCAACAAAGAAAACCTGAACTTCCAGCTATGACAATTTGAAGGAAGTCCTATGATGAAATTGCCCAACCTCAAGGCAAAACAACACCACCCTTGATGAGGAGAAGGATTATCCAGAAGCACGTACGTGGCCAAAAACTCCTTGAAAGGGGGAGGGACATCAACACTGTGAGCCAGTTAACACAATGAGAAAAATGTTAGGACCACTCTCCACCCGTTGGGAGTCAACCTCACGGCAGCCAGTGATTGGTGCCCCAGAATCTGACAGATGGGTCCAAGTATTGGGAACCTCAAACCCACCTCTAAGGTATCCTCGTAAAGAACAATCTCACCCGAGGATTCATAACTTGCTGGCTCATCCTCCTCTGTCTGACGACACATGACAGCAGAAGGTATACAATATGAAGACACGACGCAGACGAGGTCGTCATCATAGTCTATGGAACTAAATATCGAGGATACCTTTGACCTATCGCCCTCAACATCTCCTTTGCCTCGTCGTGAAGTCTGTGTGACATCCACCATACCGCCTCTACCAACTTAGGCGCTTAACAGAACATAAGCCAATAAAGGTGAATGGGTAGCAAGGGTCTGACGAACAAGGTTGTAGGTGAAAAGTGGTACCTTGATGTCAATCATGACCGATGCCCCACCTGTGTCTTTTCTTTCCTAGTTGGGAGGCCTGTCTTGCCATGCTTCTGTCGGAATGAGCACTTGACAATCTACCACTTAAAATTTGTCTACCTAAGTCACTCTGCCCCTCTGCGCCAAGACCTAGGGCGCCACCCAGCATGTCCCCTGCGACATCTCCTTCATCGTTAGTAGCATCACAACCACCATGGTCTATGGCCTAAGGCATTGCTAGGGTTTGGCCCAAAATCAGCGCCCAATGCTTGGACCTCGCCCAAGCTGACCAAGGCGTTGCCCCCTCTCTCTTCGGCCTCGGCGCAGTCAAGTACGCCTAGGGCAATGCCTCTCCTTACGCTCGTGCGCCTCCCAAGGTTACCAGGTCCAAGTTGGACATTGCCCATTCTGGCCCGCACCTCATCAGCGCCGCAACTACCTCCTATGTAGCCTAACGCCCCGTCGGTGCCACCTCCACCTCTAGTGCAACCACTGTCTCCTGCGTAGCCCAACGCCCAATCGGCGTCGCCTCCACCTCCAGCACCGCCCAATGCCCCGCTGATCTCCACTCTTGGGACACTGCCCGGCATCGCCCAAGGCTTCGCCTAGCGTTGCCCATAGCTTTGATAAAGCTTTGCCCCGGGCCTTTCTTGGGCTTCTTGGTCTAGCTGTTTACTTCTTTGTGGAATTGCCATTGGAGCCCTCTCTTAGCGCTTCCAAGCTCCTATTCTTCATTCTCTCGATTTCTTTTGGAAAAAGAGTTCTGAACCTTAGTCTCAAGGGAAAGCTTCAAGAAAAAGGAAAAAAAAAAAGCGAAAATGGAGTAAAGGAGTATGAGGGGTTATATACATATATAAGCTCTTTAATGTGATTTTTTTCCCGAAAAACAAGGAGTTTCTTCAAGATTTTTTCCTAAAAACCAAAGAGTTTCTTCAAGACTGATGAAGGACCCAGTGAAGGAGATGTGGACGAATGCAGAAAACGCCCAATGATGATGATTTCAATTTAAGAAAGAGATTTTCGCAGTTTGTGAAGATGGAAAGGCCACCGTGTGGAACAAGAAAATCTTTGTTTGACTAGATGAGAAAGACAACATCGTGAGGAGCAAGAAACCCTTTTTTAGTTGATAGGGCTCACTCATGCCCTCAACCCCTTTTTGTCACCACGAAGGCTTGGGGCATGGGCAGCAAATGATGAGCCTAGATTCAACTAGGCTAGGCCCAATAAATTAGATGAACCCAGATTAGCTAAAATGATCCTTCAAGCCTAGCTCATGGATTCGACCTAGTCTAAGGCCCAAGAAGTCCAAGAAGATTAGAACACGTGGGGGAACAATTATCGGGATACCCCTTCTCAAAGATCAAGATAATCTTTAATTGTACTTATATTTTTTAGCTATCATTCTCGAAGAACTAGTACATTTACTCTCACGTCACCGCCTCACCTAAGGGCTTCATGCCTATAAATTGTAAGTTCTTTCTACATAAAAGGAAATCTCTTTACACACCCTCACATAGTTATTTCTCTCTCTTAGCTACCATACCTCTCCCAGAGCTATCTCTCTCTCCCTCACCTTTGTTTATTAATAAAGGTTTTTTAACCACCGTTGCCGTTTTCGGAGTGGAGTAGGTCCCCCTATTAAACCATTATACATCTTTATGTTGACCCAATATTTACCTTTTTGTCATTGATTGTTTTATTAATTGTTTCATAATTTCTCCTGCATCATTCACCCGACTGTTGATCTTGCATAAGTCTATTTTGTGCATCAATCTATATTTATGATTGTCACTCAATAATACACACTACTACCATTTAAAAACTTAAAAAAGACATAAATATTCCTTCATTTATCTATATTTTAAATTTATGTCCCTATATACATATATTTTATTTGGATATAACAAAAATAATACAAAAGACAAACAACACAAGAAATAAAAGTTTCAAAATATATCTTTGGTTGTTGAAAATTTCTTTGAATCTCTATTGTGTGTTACGCCTAAAAAATATATTTAGACAATATTAACCTTTTAAATTTAAACACATACTATATAATTTTTGTTTTAAAACAAAAAATGGGTCATCTTAGACAAAAACATGGACTATTTTGTTTGTGTAACTAGATTTCGCTTGTATACTTTTTTTCGATTGTATAACATGGTATTAAAGATGCAAGCATAAGTTTGAAAAATAAAATGTCATGTAGCTTTGTTGTGCATATACTTTGTAATCCTTTTGTAGATCTAATATAATATTGGACTAATCTCAGGTTACACCTCGAAAGATCATTTGAATTTTAATTTGTACCCTCAAAATTTAAAAATATCAATTTATACTCTGAAAGACATAAATTCGTATGAATGTGCACCTGAGTCTAAAACTATTCATTTAGTCATTAAAAAAGTTTGGGCTAATTATAAATCGTACCCCTCAAAGTTTAAATATTTTATATTTATGATAAAAAAAAATTCATCTATTAATACTCGTTAAGCAACTCTCAACTGTATCGTATCATAACATTTTCATATTGTGTTTGAGTCAATAAAAAAATAATTTTAAAATTAAAAAATTAAAAAATACCTATTTTTTTGCCTACACTACTCGTTAAATAACTATTTTTTGTCTATAAATAGACACAAATCTTTTGATTGTCTAATCAAATTAAAGTTAGATACAAATAACACAACTGTAGACAAAAAATTGTTATTTAGCGAGTATTATAGGAAAAAAATAGAAATTTTTTAATTTTTAAAAATATTAAATATTATTATATGAATTTTTGTAAATGTGAAATGTATGATACAACGTAATTGACTTGACACAAAAAATGTTGTGTTAAAAATATTTTTTTATTGACTCGAGCACGACATGAAAATGTTATAACATGATACAATTGAGAGCTATTTAACGAGCATTAATAGATAAAATTCTTTTTGGATCATAAATGGGGAATATTTAAATTTTAAGGGGTGCAATTTATATTTAACCCAAACTTTTTTAACGGACAAATAGACAGGAGTTAATTTCAAGTGCACATTGATACGCATTTATATCTTGCAAGGTGTAAATTATTATTTTTAAATTTTGAGAATGCAAATTGAGATTTGAGTGATCTTTCAGGGTGTAAGTTGAGATTAGCCCTATAATGGTTTATTATTTAAATTTTTTACATACAACAAACATGGTGCATCGATAGTGCATTCCAATATGTTTTGTAGCAACATTTTAAGAATGAAAAATAACACTGACCTAGAAATATATATACGTTTACATAAGATAGAGTTGGGGATAGGTCAGTAGGGGGTTCAATGACAATGGTGGATGTTTGGGATTAGAGTTAGGGTTGGGGTAGTAAAGGGTGGTGCTAGGGATAGAAGAGTTGGTAGACAGTGGAAGCAATGGTGGATCTATAGTCGGACAGCTGCCCCCATTGGAATTGAAAATTTTTTGGAGAGTAAGTATAATTTCAAAAATTTTAAAATTTATTAGAAATTTGCCCTTACTGAATTTTTTTTTAAATATTTATAGGTAGTTATAATATTTTGACAAATATATGAGTCTCATTGATAAATGTCAAAAAAATTTCTTTCAGAGGCTAAATACCTTCATTATGTATTAAATTAAATTGTTTTGATTTGGTGGGTTTGAATAGTTTTATTGTTTACGTCTGATTTGATTGTTTACTAAAATTCAACTATATATGATTGAACCCAATTTTTTTATTCAAAATTTTTTGTTAGGCAATTAGATCTTTTAAATAACTTTATATTGAGCTTTTTTTGTATAAGACTCATGTATATGGGTTGTGACTTTAATTGACGTTATATCAATAAAATTATACTTTTGTAAACATTAATAATTTTAATATTCATATGGTTTATGTTTCTCCTATTGAGGGAAATGTCTAGCTACGCCCCCGAATGTAAGTGATGGATCTAGGGGTGAGGGTGGATTTTTGGGGTGCATCGCATTAAGTTAGGTTTGTTGAAAGTACAAGGTTTATTGAGATTACGCGTGCCCTCTCTGTTATCACATATAAGGAAACAAGCAATGGATCCGTGAACTAAATAGGTAAATTGAATATAATTATACAATAGTTAAATTGAACATAATGATACAATTCGTGAACTAAATAGGTAATTCTTTTATTGGGGCCGGATTGACCAACTTAGCTCTTGGTTGGGCACTTTGCTCAAATGTGGTTGGCAAAGTTTAGGACTAGATTTGGGAATATATAAAATAATATAAGGTTATTTTTTTGTATCATATCAATAAATAAATTTCGATCATAAATCTTGTTTTTTGGGTTATTTATAGTTGTTGACAAATTTATAATTTTTTTTATGTGTCACTTTATAATTAGCTAAACATATTATCTTATGAAAATAATTTTTCAATATTGAAAGGGCTAAAAAAATTATTGTGTGTGATTAGATCATTAAATGAAGACATTTGACAAAAGTAAGAAAGGCCACTATAATGATGGTAGAGTACCTCTCACCGAACCTTGAATGAATCAACCGAACATGTTTTAGCTCTATCCAACTAGAAATAGATCATTATAATTGAACGGCTTAGTTAACAGAGTAGTAGAGGAGTTGGTAAATACCGGACATGCTATTGGAGTAGGAATTTGTGTAGAACTCTTGATTTCAACAGATACAAAAAAATAGATAGTATATTCAGAACAAACAGAGACAATCTATGCAGAGTCAATAAGGAAATAACTTAATTCATAGGTGTATATTGTAAATATGTGACCAAAAGAATCGGTCAATAGAAAAGAAAACATAGAAAGATATCAACATGAATTATGAAACATATGGCTAAAAAAAACGTGTACCTTTTTTTCTTACAATTTACTTGTTTAATCTTAAATTTTTATTGACTAAAATATCGATCTATCTTTGACCTATCAAATCTTGGTTCTCGACAATTTATTCATTTTATGGGAAGAGATGCATTTTATTCGTTTCCTCCATAACCAATCACCCATGGTGGAGCATCATCTTTGTTTCAACCCATCAAAGATACATTTTTTCCTCGTACAAATCCTATAATGTAACATTAAAAAAAAGAAGTAAAAATTGGTGGGTCAAGCCTAAGGGTCCAACTCAAATTATAAGTCAAGTCTAAGTTCATAGTCCATCTCCTAAAGATCCAGTAAGTTTAGCTCAATGTGATAAACCCAGATAAATTCATCAAGATCAAGGAGTTACATTAGCAGGGAGCATGCAAAGTCATCCAAGAGTCTCTTCCTCTACCATCTTGGAGTAAGGGTTATCCAAGAATCTCCTTTTCGCCACCTTGGAGTAAGAGTCATCCAAGAGCCTTATCCTTGTCGCCTTGGAAATAGTCAACACCCCGCTTCATTATTTGACCGAATCCCATGAAGAGCCCGTAACTACCTCGTCTGTTGAGAAGATATCACAATTTCCACTAAAATAGCTACTTGGTTACTAACAACTCACTCCAATCTGTTATTAGGACGATTATAAATAATAAGTCCCACCAACACTTGGGGGATAGATCACATTCGGTTGAGCACAACCTTCTCTCCTCCTTCTCAACCTGTAACTCTCTTCTCTCTTGCATATTTGAGTTAATAAAATATTTGACGATTCTAACCATTCAAAAATGAATGTAGGTTATTTTAATCGGACCACTATAATTCTCGTCTTCTTTCTACTTTAATAACTTAACAAATGGTGTACAAAACCAATTTTATGTATCATCAAAAATAGATTCGAATGAATTCCTCGCATGGCTCGGACACTCTTCCTCCAAATGGTATATTGTATGAATGATCCATTCGTACATTCAGGTAGATAAAGTTTATAAGAGTCGCATCCAAATCCGATTTGCCACACAATGCTACGCATGCTATCACATAAGCACGTTATCCAATGTAAATTCTTAGCCAGTTCTTCTACGTATCCAACTAGACTACCGATAAAAAAAAAATTAGTATCATACAATCAAAATTTATTATTTTAATGAATATTTTTATAATCTTTATGAATTATTTTATAACAAAAAAATTTATACTATTGTGGTAATTGTTTTTATCCTTTTTTTTTGTACAAAAAAATTACTATTTTTATAGGTGATTTCCTACATTTGTGAGCATTTTTATCTTATGAATGTTTTTACCACTATTGTGGTAATTATTTTATCACTTTTTATTACCACAACAATTATAAAAAAAACTCACAATAGTAATAAAAGTATCAACAAATGTTATAAATAAAAATATGATACTGAAATGTGGTAAATAGAGGTATAAACAAGTCCCTACATGAGACTAGGGGTGGAGCTAAAAAATTGTTTCAAGTGAGCACCGTAAATTTTAGCAAACTTAATTTTTTTCTTGCATTTGATAAAAATAGAATAATGTATTTATATTTAATTATATCCTATTTAATTCTTAAAAGTTCATTAAATTTAAAAGACTAAAATTGCTAAGCATAGTAGATACAAATAACAAAAAAAAGAAGAGGTTAATTATATCTTTTTACCAAACAAATGCTAATCAAAATTATTTAGAATTAACTTGGATGAGTTTTCATACGTTGAAAGTCTTGCATTAATTTTATTATAATTTATATCTACAATCATATTATCACTTAGTTATTTATTATTCATTCGATTACATAATAAAATATATTCTCTATCATTTTAGTACTAATTACTAAAATAAATGTCATAAGTAAACTCATGGATATATCATGCATTTTCTAAATTTGGCTAAAAAATAGAGTGGACATAATTTAATAAATTAAACAAATACTTAAAATATTAGTAAGTAATTTAAAAAAAATATTGGAGTGAGTATGTGCCCCCCTGTGGGCATAAGGTGGCTTCGCCCCTGCATGGGACATTATTACTAAAAGAAAGTATTGAGATCTACAAAAAATTTCGGTACTATAACAATAAATAAATCTTGATCGTTGATTTTGATTTGAGTTTTTTTATAGTCGTTGATCATTAAAATAATAAAATCAAACAAAATAAATAAAAATTTTCCACATGTTATCTTATTGATTAGATAAAAAAAATATGGTACAAAAAAATAATAATTTTGGTATCCAACCAATCTCATCAAACAATAACATATGTAATTGATAAATTATAAGAGGGTCACAATATAGCGTTACGAAAATTAAAAAAAAAACAGTAATAATATTGAAATTTATGACATCATCAATTTCTATGCAACAATATTATTGGCCTAAATTTTTTTTTATAGTAAACTCGGTGTACTATTGAAATTTATGACTAATTTTGAAATAAAAAGTACATTGAGTCTAAATAATATTATTTACATAAAAAAAAACTTATTTAGCTATTGGAAGAAGACTATGGTACAAAAAAAAATGGTATTATACTGCCAAATTGTACAAATTTTATGCAATGAAATACAAGTTTTTTAAATTTATTTATAGCAGAAAAATTTACCAAAATTATAAATAATCTTCAAAATTTATGACACGTGTAAGCACCAATGTCTGACGTCCGTCGGTCGTCCTTTTCAATGCATTAAATAAGTAGCGTCATTGAAACCGACTGGATACCTAAAACGGTTCGAATTCAAAAAAGTATTTTAATCTTTATTCCATTCCCCACTCAAACGACCGTCGTACGTTGAGGCCATTTCGGACACTCTGGGCATTTTGCAATTTGTTGGGTCCAAAACCGGAAAAAGATAAATAAATGGGGGCAGGCGAGCTAGACGAAAGACACGACCTACCCGCTCATCGAGGCAATTGTGACAGAACTACTCTCGTGCGCTTCGGTGTGCGAGTATACACAATACATTTACTATCGCACTAAAACAATATTATCCCTGCTTTTCTCGACAACCACCCAAAACTTATATAAATTATTTTCATGCCATAGAAGATTAATTTTATACTCACCCGAAAATAAAATTAAAAATCAAGACCAAATGATATGATATTATAATAATAATAATTTTTTTTGGTTTTATTTTTATTTATTTAATATTCAAATTTATTTATTATATCAAAGCTACCACTTCATTTGGACTTTTTTTTAATATTTTTTTTTCATTTGGACTTTTTTTTAATCTTATTTTTTTTCGTTTGGACTTTTTTTTTAATCTTATTTTTTAGTTGGTGTAATATTACTTTATTTTTAAGACTATTTTACAAGACCCACAAGAGAAAATGTATAGTACAAATTAGATGGGATTCGAGGAGGTTGAGTCTACTGGGTGTGTTGAAGTCTCTCCCAGCTTCAATTTTCCCTGGTGTTCCTGATTTTCAAATTTGAATAGTCAAACGAAAGTGGACAAAGGTCAACTTTTATGAGTAAATAGGAGAAATAATGTTTTTTTTTTAAAAATTAAACTTATTATCTTTAGTGAAACTTTTTTTTTTGTTTCTTGAATAAGGTATCTTTTATAAATCTCTTTGAATTTATTTTTTGAGGACAATTAATTGAATATATTTTTTAATTTATCTATAAAATAATGATCAACAAGGGCTAAAAATTTCAAATAATAACAAAAACGATCTGTAAATTTAAACGTTTTGAATTTGAATTTTGACATTTTTTTTGAGTCAAATCATGAGCAATTTACATCTTATAAATATCTTAATTCCTGGGTGGATGACCTGTCTTTGATCAAATCAGGAAAATAATTAGTTAAAGTGAACATAAATTGATATAAATATCCTTTATCATTGAAAAAAAAAATAAACTCTAGAAAGGCTGAATTGTATGATGGGCCATTTCTAATTATGAAATTCTATAATTCCCTTTTGTCGAGTAGCATAAATTTTTTTTCTAAAGAACAAACATCCCTTAATTTCTCTAAATTACAAACAGGCCTCTGCAATGGATAACTACCCAACACTGATACCCTAGATTAAATCGGAGTAGAGTGAGGGCTTCTTTGTAATATATTAGTCCTGGAGTGGCTCAGCGTCCCTCTCTTATTCTCAAATCCCCACCTCTCTCCTTCTCTCTCTAAAACTCTTGTGTTTCCCTCTCTAAGCACGGCGTTGACAAAGCCCTCGTTTTAGGGTTTCTTCCACTCTAGGCTACTTCATACTCTCTGTGGTTCTCAGGTACAGTTACTTTGCTTTCATTGATGCTTTTCTTTGAGTAAAAATTAGTCTAAAGCTCCGTTTTACAACCGATTGTTTCGACTTTTTTTTTTGTATTTTTTTGACAGTGTTTGTGGGTGGTTTTAGGGGAAATCTGTGTAATGTTGTTGTGTTTTGACATTTTGTTGTAGGATTTTACAGTTTTTGTGGGTATATTTGGGGGAAATCTCTGTAATATTGTGTTTTGACCTTTTGTCGTTGGTTTTTACTGTGTTTGTGGGTATTATTAGGGGAAATCTGTGTAATGTTGTTGTGTTTTGGGGATTTTTCTTTGTTGTTTCTTTTGATTGAGGTTGGTCTCTACTTATTTGTTCTGTTTATTCTTGCTTTCAGTTATTCAGGAATTTTCAGTTCTATTTTCCTGCAACCGTTTCTCTGACATTTAGTTAAAAATTTGCTTTAATTTTTTTTGGGTCTATTTTTAAAGTTTTTCAGCTGCATGCATGCTTTCTGACTTCATGGGTTTAGGTGGTCCCTTTTCTTATGGTGCTGGTGCTATTCAGGTTTGATTCTGAGGTTTATGGGTTTCTTCTGCCAGTAGTTTGTGATTTATTTTTTGCTGTTTTTGTTAGTGGTTTTTTGTGTTTGTTCTCTCTGCATTTTCTGTGTTATTGGGCGTAGGGACATATCCCATGATTAGTGGGATATCTCGTGATTATTGATCCGTCTGTAATCATTTCTCATTCTCTAATACCCGTCAAAGCCCATTGGTATGTTGGATGTGTTTTTATCTTTCTTTGCCTTTTGCTTAGCTTTCACTGACTCTACTATGGGTCTTTGGTCTCTGATTTTTCCTTTGTAAGAGCTATAAATATTTTGGGGTAGCGCAGTCTGTAGTAAGTATTTATTTATATCCCCTAGTGAGTTTCTGGTTTTTTCTCGGTTTTGGCCTCTGGTTGTGGTGTTATTTATTTGGTTTATTTTACCATTTTGGGGTGGTTTTCGGTTTCTTAGTTTTGAATTGCTTAGTTGTTTGCCTAATCTTTGGTGGTTTTATGTTTTCAAGCTTTGTTTGTGCCCACCTCAAGGGTCTATGCTCTTTGAACTCTACTTCTATTTGTATAAAGGGTCTAATATTGAACAATTCCTTTGATTCTCGGTCTACAGTTATGGTTTCAAGTCCTAAACCCTCACTAAAATTTGTTATTATCTCCTTCCACAAGTTCTCAGTTATAATTAAATATTCTACCAGTTTAGTCGCCACAAGGATTTTATGAGAATGCTATCAGAATAATTTCACAAATAAACCATGGAGAGCTTTTGTTTTCTACCTAGAAAGAAAATACCATAGAAAAGAAAAGGGAAATTTCATTTGGTTTTCTAAATTTGTTTGCTTTTCTTGCTCTTGTGATAGGGCTGATAAATGCAAAAAACAGCCCTTTAATACAGCAAAAGTCAGTTGATGAATCCAATCTGACTTCTAGAGTTGGAAAGGCTTTATTTTTGCATGTTATGATCTAAGATCTCATCTATGCCCAGTGTTCAAGTTTGAAATAATTTTGGAGGTTGTCTATAGCTTTTTCAGTGTCTTTGAACAAATCAAGATGTACTTATGATCAAGGTTTCTCAGATGTTAAACAGAAAATGAAATCTTTAATTCTCTCAGATTTTCTGGCATTAAATATTTGAAACCATTTTTTTCTTTTAGGTTTGGAATGGATTCATTTGAACAAGAGGGTAATGGGGCAGCAGAAGCTCTGCCACCTCCCCCACCTATTCCTCCGGATGTTGCTCCTATGAAAGCTGAACCAGAGCCAGCTAAGAAAAAGGTTGTGCGCGTACCAATGGCTAGACGCGGCCTGGGTTCCAAGGGGCAAAAGACCCCTATCATAACTAATCACTTCAAAGTGAATGTGACTAATGTTGATGGTCATTTCTTCCACTACAGTGTATGTTCCATACCTGTTTCTCTGTACTGACACATCACTATTTATTGTATCTAATGAGAAATAGTTCTATTCCTTATCATATGATTATTTGGAACAGGTTGCCCTTTTTTATGAAGATGGTCGCCCAGTAGATGGGAAAGGGATTGGAAGAAAAGTGCTCGACAGAGTTCATGAGACATATGACACCGAGTTAGCTGGGAAAAAATTTGCTTATGATGGGGAGAAGAGCTTGTTTACTGTTGGTCCACTTCCCAGGAACAAACTTGAGTTCACTGTTGTGCTTGAGGATGTTACATCAAATAGGTTACATTGCAATAAAACACTTTGATTTTCCCAATTTCACTAGTCAGTGGTCACTATGGATATTTTTAGGCTGTGAGTTGACAAGTTATTTGTATCTCAGGAATAACGGAAATTCCAGCCCTGATGGACATGGAAGTCCAAATGAGAGTGACCGAAAAAGGAGACGGCGACCATACCAATCGAAAACTTTTAAAGTGGAGATTAGCTTTGCTGCAAAAATTCCTATGCAGGCCATTGCAAATGCATTACGTGGTCAGGAGTCAGAGAATTCTCAAGAAGCCCTTAGAGTTCTGGATATCATTTTGAGGCAGCATGCAGCAAGACAGTAAGTTATATATAAGCTTGGGGGTTTTGATGGGATTCTTTTAGGTATTATCCAACCGTTATTGTTCTTGCACAGGGGTTGCCTACTTGTTCGTCAGTCTTTCTTTCATAATGACCCAAGGAATTTTGCTGATGTGGGTGGTGGTGTTCTTGGCTGTCGAGGATTCCATTCAAGTTTCAGAACTGCTCAGGGTGGCTTATCTTTGAACATAGGTAATAGTTTTTACACATACTTTATTGGTTGTAATTTTTCTTATTGTTTGCTATCATTACTAACTGTTTTCTTTATGGTCAGATGTATCTACCACGATGATAATCCAGCCTGGGCCAGTGGTGGATTTTCTAATTGCCAACCAAAATGTGAAGGATCCCTTTTCAGTTGATTGGGCAAAAGTAATCAATATTTCAGCTTAATGTTGATGCTGTTCTTATGTTTATATATCTGTCCCTAAGTTGGTGCGCTTGACATTTGGCTTGATTAGGCAAAACGGACTCTAAAGAATCTGAGGGTGAAAACAAGTCCCTCCAATACTGAGTACAAAATAACTGGATTGAGTGAGAGGCCTTGCAGGGAACAGATGTACATTTTTCTTGCTATCTGTTTTAATTTCCTTTGTTTGGCTAAACATTGGAATGTGATTTTACTCTCCCTGTTATCCTGAATTTATGTGGCATAACTTCCGCCCTCTCCCAATCCCATTTATGGTTGTTTGGCTACATGGTAAATGGGCTGATAAAGTTTACCTCGCATGACTCCCCACTCTCCTTTTCCCCTTTATGGAACACAATTTTCAAATCACATTATCTTACATAAAGGGATTAAACTTAATTTGTTTCTTTCATGTTGTAGGTTTTCATTGAAGCAAAAAGGTGGCAAGGATGACAATGGGGACGCGCAGGCAATGGAAGTGACTGTTTATGATTATTTTGTCAATTACCGCCACATAGAATTACGCTACTCAGCTGATCTACCATGCATTAATGTTGGCAAGCCAAAGCGGCCAACTTACATCCCTCTAGAGGTGATACATCAAGTTACTGATAAAATCATTTATAAAAGCTTTATGCATTGCACCTGTGTTTTTGTTGTATTTATCGGTGTTCTGTTGTAATTTTAGCTTTGTTCCTTGGTGTCCTTGCAACGTTATACAAAAGCGCTATCAACTTTTCAAAGAGCTTCTCTGGTGGAGAAATCAAGGCAAAAACCACAAGAACGGATGAGAGTTTTGACTGATGTAGGTTTTTTTAAACTCTTGACTGTTATCATTTTCTTCTTTGATGCCTAATCTCGTGTTACGGCAGGCTTTGAAAATCAACAACTATGAGGCTGAGCCTATGCTGCGTTCTTGCGGTATTTCAATCAATAATAGCTTCACTCAGGTTGAAGGCCGTGTGTTGTCTGCCCCAAGGGTGTGTATCTATTACTGTTCTTGTCTGCCTTTTTATTGTTGTTGCATATAGGCATCTTAGCTTTCTTTTGATATTATGCTTACTTTAGGTGGTAAGATTGGTTTTCTAACCGACTCTAGCTTTGTTTTAGTTGAAAGTAGGAAATGGAGAAGATTTCTTTCCTCGGAATGGAAGGTGGAATTTTAACAATAAGGTGCCTGTCAGTGTTTCATATTATTTTTATAATAAACTCCCTCACGCATTCAGCTAAATTCTGTCCTTCGTAACTCTTGATATGATCGAGTAGAAACTAGTGGAGCCAACAAAGATAGAACGTTGGGCTGTTGTTAACTTCTCAGCTCGCTGCGACCTCCGTGGCCTCGTTAGAGATTTGATCAAATGTGGAGATATGAAAGGAATTGTGAGTTCTCTGTGATTCCGTGTATGTACTGCACGTTATTTACTTTTATGTAAACCGAGTGATTGATGAATATTTTCCCCTTTTATTTCTATAGCAAATAGAACCTCCTTTTGATGTGTTCGAGGAGAATCCACAGAATAGACGGTCCCCACCTCTTCTTAGAGTAGAAAAGATGTGCGAAGAGATTCAGTCAAAACTTCCAGGGGCACCCCAGTTCCTTCTCTGTTTGCTTCCTGAGAGGAAGAACTCTGATCTCTATGGTTGGTTTGAGTGGATTTATCCATTTATCCTCCATGCTGATAATTTACTTGTGTATAATTAATGAAACTATTTGATATCAAGGTCCATGGAAAAGAAAGAATCTTGCTGAATTTGGAGTAGTTACACAATGCATTGCTCCGACAAGAGTAAATGACCAGTATCTGACAAATGTTCTCCTTAAGATCAATGCAAAGGTGATATGCTTTTGGGAGTTGTCTGTGCTTCCAATCATCTGGTTCCCGAGCCTTTCTCTTTCAGTATTTGGGTTTACACATTCTAATGCTTCCTTTTCATCATCTTCTTACCTTCCTGACAGCTTGGTGGTTTAAATTCCATGTTAGCTGTCGAACAATCTCCTTCTATTCCTCTGGTATCAAAAGCTCCCACCATAATTCTTGGGATGGATGTATCACATGGCTCTCCTGGCCAATCAGATATACCATCAATTGCTGCGGTAACATACTACCCTTTGGCTTATCAAATGACGTTCTTTATGGTTTTGCACTCCTGTGAATTTTTTTAGTATGTTCATTGCTGAAGTTGCAGTCCTATGCATGCAAATATGACATACTCTATCTATCTTATGAGCCAGGAAAGAATGTGTGGTTTGCGTGTGTTTTGCAAATCTTTTGATATTATTTATATCCACAGGTTGTCAGTTCAAGGCAGTGGCCATTGATTTCTCGTTATAGGGCATCAGTGCGTACTCAGTCCCCAAAGTTGGAAATGATTGATTCACTATATAAACGTGTATCAGACGTTAAAGATGATGGCATAATTAGGTTGGAATTTTTTCATATTAAATCAATCTACAGTACCATGGGTTTATGTATTGTCTGCTGTATATATTTGGTATCTTTGATTGCTGAAAAATGGAATCAAAATGCAGATGGTTTTGGTATGCTATGCCTGTCGATATTCATATGTTTGTTTTCTAGTTTAACTTCAAAGTTATTCTAAAAAAAGTTAGAATTAAAATTCAAACTGCCAAATTAAATTTCAAAAAACTGCCTAATGACATTTTCTCCTTGAATTACAGGGAGCTTTTGCTGGATTTCTATGTGACTTCCGGAAAAAGGAAGCCTGATCAAATTATCATCTTCAGGTACTTGTTGCTTGTCGTCTTCGCACTATTAGGAAGTGATTTCGTTGTCACATCACATACGTATGTGTAGAACTATTCTCTTAGTTTAATTTCTAAGATGCAGTTTATTGAGCAAAAATAGTTTTTTTGAAGGTAATATTGAATCATCTGTAGAAACACTGAATAATGAAATAAATCAGGTTTTGAAATTGCCATCTTGTGTACTTTTTAAAGAATGGTGTCCTGTACTTGAATCATGAGCTTGGCTGAAAAACACTTTTGATTTGACATGATATTTTTAATAGAAATAGTAGGTATCTCCCCAGTTATGAGTAATTACCCAGTTTTGTCTTAACTGGTGTTTGTGGGGGATGGACTGGCTCCAAACTAATCTTTACATTATTTGTGCGAGAGGGTACCATTATATTCCAACTCCCAATCTCACAGTTAATAGCTCAATAGTTTTGCCGCAGCACTACAATTCAACCTGAGGTTTTTGTTGCTGCGAAGCAAACTCACATTATGGGTCAACCGGTAAAATTTTACCTGTCATCTTCTTAATGGAGTTTCTGCTTGCCCAAACCTTGCATCTTTTCAAGAAATATAAAAGGGAATGTCCTGGGGAAGGTTCCTTAGACTTGTAACTCGTGGATTCATTGGACTCCTAAGCTTTATTCCACATGATATGCTAATTGGGTGCATTGCAAATGTATCCACTGGCATGTGTCATGATTCTGGCTGGACCAATTATTTTTTTTTCTGAACTCATTTTACATTTCATCGTCTCATTTGTATGCTGTACTTGATTTTTTTTCCCTTGAATGTTCTACTTATCAGAGGGGTGGTTCATTTTTTGATGTAATCATGCTGTCAAGTTTTCCTTGCTTGTTATCAATGACATTGTGCTGCATTTCAGGGATGGTGTCAGCGAATCCCAGTTCAATCAGGTTCTGAACATTGAATTGGATCAAATTATTGAGGTTTCTGTGCTAAGTTCCCTTTCTTAATTTTACAATAGCTGTGTGAATTTTATTCTGTTTGGCAAAGAAAAACATAGGTGTATAATTTGCCTCTTCTATACATGCAGGCTTGCAAGTTCCTTGACGAGAAATGGTCACCCAAGTTTGTGGTAATTGTGGCGCAGAAAAACCACCACACAAAATTTTTCCTGCCTGGATCTCCTGATAATGTCCAGCCAGGTGAGGGCCATACTAAAGAACCTACTATGCTTGGATATCCTGTTTTTGTTGGTGCAGGGACTGTTTTTTTTTTAATAAGAAACAAAACTTTCATTTCATTGAAAGACAAAAAAATTTGTTGGTGCAGGGACTGTGATAGACAATAAAGTTTGTCATCCGCGGAACAATGATTTTTATTTATGCGCTCATGCAGGAATGATTGTGAGTATTACACCTTTTTGTGCTACTTTCTCAATATGTTTGATGGTTGTTGACCGTCTTTCTTTGTAAATTATTTTGTTGTTTTTCTGTTTTATGGGTTGGTCAATATGATAGTTGGTATAGTGAGCATCTATAAGTTCTTATCCAAGCAGCCAATGGAGTTGGATGACCTTAGACTTGACTGATGGCTGAATTCCTCATGGAACTACTTGGATTTAGCTCAAGCTTGGGTTTCAATGGCTTCTTTGACCTTGTCCAGTATCGTGGCTGAGCCATGCTTGATCTCAGAATTCCAATTTTCTTTCAGACAAGCCAAGCTCTATCAGCCAATGGCTTAAGAGGAGGGTTTGGCTACTTGTATTCATAGTGTAATGATTCTTAGCTTTTGAAGTTTCTGGATGAAGCTGAAATGGAACTTATATTGGCGATAGATTTTATATTGGTTGGCCAACAACAATTATAAAAGTACGAATATGCTACTGATAGAAAAAGTCTGAACCTCCATATTGTATGTATTACCGTCAGAATAAAACAAGGTCTCAATATGTTGTCAGCAGTCACAGTGGGTTGATATATAAGGTAGTAAGCTTGTAGCAAGTTTTTGTTGTCTGTTTTGATTTTCATACACTGGTTGATTCTTGGCAAGCTCAAACTTGTTGAGAACACTTGAGTTGAATTGCAAATAGGCATACCTTGAGCCTGAATGCTCAGTTACCAAGTCATTTTTGTGTGTTCCTGAGTTTGAGCTCTTTTAAATCTGAATCTGGTGTGTATGTGATCGATTCAGCGCTATACTGAGATGCTTATATTCAGGAATTAGTTCATTTTAAAGATCTGTTTATTCTATTCCCTCTTTCTTAATTATTTTGATATAGTAACCAGCTCTGATTTTTTTCTCCCACCTCATGGTTAAGATTTTGGTCTGGTGATATTATTTAACTGCATGCCCAAAGATAGAGGCAAAAAGAGACTAAAATTCAAGCAGGCTATGCAGCCTAGTTAGATTATGGATCTTACAAAGTTCCACTTCTTCCAGTGTGCTGACATTTGTTCCCTAGTTATTTTTCCTTGAGGAGAGTATGTTGTGATGGACTTATTTGATCCAGTTTTTACCCATAGGGAACCACAAGACCCACACATTACCATGTTCTGTTAGACGAGGTTGGTTTCTCCGCAGATGATCTCCAGGAACTTGTGCATTCGCTGTCCTATGTGTAAGTAATTTCTCAAGAGCTCTGTTACTTGAGTTAAATGATTAGAGATGTGGAATAACTAGTGATCTTTCTTAATTATTTTCTGTTATATTATAGGTACCAGAGAAGTACTACGGCCATTTCTGTAGGTAAAGCTGATTTATTTCCAAGAATGCAGCGAATTGTTGAGTGGATGGACCAATAGTAGCCTTCTAAAAGCAAACTTATTTAACTGCATTTTACTCAATTATTACACGTTTATGCATCATTTTTGACTGTATTATTGGGCTGTACTTTTCCTAACCATGTGCTCGTTTGATTTTGACACCTAATCTTCTGAACCACCTCTACCCCTACCTCCCTGGGGTTTTGGGGGGGTACCAGAACCACCAACAAGAAAAAAAATAAGAACTGCTCTACGGAATTTTTAGGCCGGCATTCTTTGTACATTGTTATATGCATTGTAGATCTAATCTCTCTCTCTCTCTCTCTCTCTCCCTATTGTGTGAATGTGCAGTTGCTCCCATATGCTATGCACATTTGGCAGCCACACAAATTGGACAGTTTATGAAATTTGAAGACATGTCTGATACGTCCTCAAGCCATGGTGGGATGACATCTGCTGGTGCCGTTCCTGTCCCCCAGTTGCCCAAATTGCAGGATAATGTCTGCAATTCCATGTTCTTTTGTTAACTCTCTTAAGACCATGCACTTCTGAAGTTAAGGACACCTTAGGCACTCGTAGTATATATTATCTGGCTTTTTAGTGGACCTTCCACTGTGGATGGTGCCAAAGCTGCAGTAACTTGGATATGTTAGCTTTTGGTTGTGTTTTTATGGTTTACGTGTTGGCTATTTGCCTTTTTTCCAGCCTTTGTTCCATTGGCTGCTGATTTGCAAATGGCTAAAAAGGTACTACTAGACTGTGGAAGGTCTCTTGTGCTTAAACGATGTTGTGTGGGAGATTTGGCTTAATCTTGATCATCTCTTGCCCTGTTTTGGTTAATATTGGATAAGATTTGCATTGGTTTGCACTACTTATATTTTTGTGCTTAGTAAATTATGTGAAATTGTGAAGATGTTACATCTGTTCTGAGAGGCTATGTTAAGCTCGCATTGCCTCCTTCAATGTTGTTGCAGGAACACACGCAGTGTGCCCGTTTTTGGCTAGTGTCGTCATTTCTAGCATTTGAGCATTATTTTCTTTATAAACATTTTAATGGTACGTATTAAAATTAAGTGTACTTTTTAACTTGTCCCATGTATAAAAGGTTTTTGAAAATGTGTTTTTTTATCTGCTTTTTCGTGGGCCTTCTTGTACACATTGTTTCGCATGATACATGGTATATACTTATATACATGATAGCCTCATGGTTATGTTCCATGCTACTCATAGTTGTTGATAATACATGTGAAATCTTTAGGCCCAGGCTTCTTTGCATCAGACTTTGCTGCTATAGTGCATTTTCAATGTTGATAAGGTTGTATGAATCTACCGAGTCTAACTCATCATTATACGCACTTGATCTGTTACTGAGTTGGACTCGGGTTGAAATCGGGTTGCCCAACTCAAGTTGCACCCCTAGTCTCCTTTCAAATACATCTTTTTGTCTATATATTAAAATAAAATATAATTTAAATTTTAAATGATAAATAAAATAATTTTTGTTATTTGCGAGTAAGATCATTTTAAATTTATTTGACTTTAAAGTTAATCTAATAATTAATATTAACATTTTAAATTTAATAGAAAAAATAGGCCACTAAGAGTTTATTTAGAGGGATTTTTTAAAAGTATTTATAGGAATTATTTTTTATAAGTATTTAAAAAAAAATAATATTTGAAATTGTTTTACTACAACCAACGTCGTCGTCGTTGTCATCATCACTTTTGCCACTTTGCCATACCTACCACCCCCACCACTACCACTACCACACCATTATCATTACCACTAACACCAACATCCCACCACCACCACCATTTCCACTGTCTCATTACCACCATCACCGCTGTTGCACTTTATTATTGTCATCATCGTTGTCGCACCTTATCACTACCGTTACTGTCCCACTATCATCCCTATCACTTATACCATCGTCATTGCCACTGCCACTGCCACACTTTCTCCCCCACCCCCACTCCCACCCCACCCTCACTATCCCACTGCTACCACCACCACCACTACCACTACCATCGTCACCCACCACCGATTGCTACCATCGTTGTCCATGACCATTACCACCACTATCTTCGTCTTATTCTTTTATTTATTACTATTACCATTATTATCCCACTACCACCGTCACCCACCATCAACACCCACCACCACCCATCGTCGCCCACCATTGCCACCAGCCAATGTCACCTACCCCACCACACCTACCACCTATCACTGTCTTGCACTATAGCCACTCATTGTTACCTACCCCCACTATACTTACCCCCACCGCCATTCGTCACCACTCATCAGACTGTCACCTAGAAGTACCCATCGTTGCCCACTACCAACATCATCACCGCCTACCACCACCGTTGTTGTCCCACCACCACCATCACCATTGCCACCCCACGACTGTTACCTCCACCACGGTTGTTGCCTTACCCATTACAACCATCATCGTCTTTCACAATCACTATTGTCGTTCACCACCACTATCACCTCTGACTCTCACTACAATTGGTGTTTAAATTTTTTTTAACTCTCCTTTATGTTTGTAATTTGATTTTAGGTATGAATATAAATACGTTGACAATTTTTTTAGAACATTAATATTGTAAAACACAGTCCAATTTATACAACGTTTCATTTTTAACATTTACATTTAATGTTGTTATTAATTAATAAATATTGCCACCCTTAAAAAAATTGTGCTTTCTTATTTAGAATATAATTCAAACTAACAAGTTTCATTGTTGACTGTATTCATTACATAATCAAATTTTCTCCCATTCTGTCAAAGTTACACACACACATCTACCACCAGTAGGACCAAAGATCAAAATTTTGGCATTATTTTGATCACTTAAAAAATAAAAACGTGTTGAAATATATTTTGAAAATAGAATAACAACCGAGGAAAATGTAAAAATTTGTTTGAGAATTTGATATTTATTCTTGATTCATTTCGATTTTCAGCGAGACTGTTTTGAAAACGAAATTTAGATCCTTTAAATTGGACTTGTAGCTCCTTCTCAACTGTTTGCAGCAGAGCAAAAATGGAAATCAAAAAGAAGAATGCGATCCAACCCTCTTTTTTGGATGACTTTTTAAGTTAAAACCTGGGAAGAAATCTGAGTATCCGGTGGATATGGAAGATCTTGTACGTCCACAGCGAGCTTCATTCCATTAACGCAGTGACCATTGCATTGCCACTAAAGAAGTAATTAGTTTTTGCCTCCAGGTGTGTAAAAATAGCAGAGCTACCCACAGTAATATTTTTCAAGAAACTTTTCTCGTGACTGATCTTGTTCACCTCTAAAACGTCGTGGTATCGATCATGGAACCCAAAATCTTAAGGAGTGAGAAGTACCCAGAAGCAAGATGGAAGAAGAGGATCAGTAAAATGCAATATTAACTTCTTCATGTATAAACTTCTTGTTCTTGTTCATTTTTGACAATCTGTTTTTTAAGAAGTGAGAGCTTATATAGCCTTTCTTCTCCCTTTTAATTTTTTAGAATGTTGAATTATTTAATTAAAAATGCAATGTTTTCTCTAACCACAATGGCATTTCGTATAACAACTCCTCTACTTCTGAACAGATTACACAAACACACACAAATCATACGTATCACACTTCTTATATGAGTTTAAGCAAGATTCACATATGTTCAGTTCCTGCTAATCATGCTTCAAGATTGTAGTATTGATCGTCAACTTGAGGGCTTTGAGTTATATCGGTCGCGATGTTGTGGAAAGGTAAAATCAGGTCATATCGTAGATTTGCGGAATGGTATAGTAATAATAACTATGCGACTCGAGGTTGACACGGAGATATCTTGAATGACATAGCCAAGTTGTGCGAGACTGAAATTTTTAAGTAACGTGAAGTAGATGATATCATCTCAAAACGTGCAGAGTTGTGAACAACTCAGCCGACTTGTAGTGATGTTAGCCAATACTTTTAAATATTGATATAGATGTATGACTCTGTAATTGAATGTGTTTTTAGTTATCTAAAATGTACTAAAATTCTTCCAATAGCATTAGTTACTAAACCAAGTTTAAATCACTAACATGAACAAATTTAATCTCCAATCAACCACATATACAAGTATACAAAGTTACCGACATTATGCACACATATCAACAATACCTAGGGTAAGCAAGGGAAGAATTTACATAGCTTATTACAGACGTAAAATTGCTCACGATTCAACCATCCTGTATAGTTGACATTGGACAACCAACCTAGCAAAGTTCCCCCAACCAAATGAAGGGTGGATTCCTGTCTACCTGCACATACTTGCAGCCCCAACAACACCATCAACCACAAAGCTATAAAAATCTTTCTTTGAATGAAACAGCAAGGGAAAGTAAAATTTCAATTTGGTAACTAAGACCGGCCCCTTTAACACAAGTATTGTTGTACTTCACATGCCCTCTCTTGCCATGTGCATGCTAGATTTTGGGGTTAAACATGTTTGAGTATTTCAATTATCCTGCTATTGATGGGTAAGATCACTTACTTTAATACCATGTTAAATTACCAATTTAAGCTTTTGGATGTGCTAATAATTCAAGAAAATAAGATATCAAAAGCTAATGGCCTGTTTGAATTGTATTTTAAAATTTGTTTTTTGTTTTCAAAACAAAAAAAAATATAGAAAAGTTTTTTGATTAGAATTTTTCACAAAAATTTTTTCAAAAAAAAGTGGGAATTAAGATAAAAAAAAATTAGAGAACACATAAATGATGTTCTCTGAGTTTTTAAGCCAAAATAGAAAATATGGGAAACAACCATTGCTCTTTAATAAGGTCCAACCATTAAACTTTCTTAGCAACAAAACCTCTATTTTCGTTTGTCTTAGTCATCATCTCCTCTACTCTCTCTACCTCTATCTCTCTCTCTAATACCATGTTAAATTACCAATTTATCATAAAATTTAAGCATTTGGAGGAGCTAAAAATTCAACAAAATAAGGTATCAATAGTTAAGGGCCTATTTGAATTGTATTTTAAAAACTATTTTTTGTTTTCAAAACAATAAAAAATAAAGAAAAGCTACTTGGTTAGAATTTTCACAAAAAGATTTAAAAAAAAAGTGGGAATTGAGATAAAAAATCAGAGAACACAAATAATGTTCTCTAAGTTTTCAAGCCAAAATAGAAAACACGGGAAACAATCCCTATTCTTTAATGAGGGTCACCCATCGAACTTCCTTAGCAACACACCCTCTATTTTTGTTTGTCTTAGTCATCGTCTCCTCTGCTATGCTCTCTCTCTCTCTCTCTCTCTCTCTCTCCCTATAATACCATGTTAAATTACCCATTTATCTTAAAATTTAAGCTTTTGGTTGAGCTAATAATTCAACAAAATAAGGTACAAAAAGTTAAGGGCCTGTTTGAATTGTATTTTAAAAACTATTTTTTGATTTCAAAACAATAAAAAAAAAAGAGAAAAACTATTTGGTTAGAATTTTTCACAAAAAGATTTTCAAAAAAAAAATTGGGAATTGAGATAAAAAATCAGAGAACACATAAATGATGTTCTCTGAGTTTTCAAGCCAAAATAGAAAATACAGGAAACAACCCCTACTCTTTAATGAGGTTCACCCATCGAACTTCCTTAGCAGCAAAGTCTCAATTTTCGTTTTTCTTAGTCATCGTCTCCTCTACTTTGCTCTCTCTCTCTCTCTCTAATACCATGTTAAATTACCAATATATCTTAAAATTTAAGCTATTGGATGAGCTAATAATTCAACAAAATAAGGTATCAAAAGTTAAGGGCTTGATTGGATTGTATTTTAAAAACTATTTTTTTTTTCAAAACAATAAAAAATAGAGAAAAACTATTTAGTTAGAATTTTTCACAAAAAGTTTTTCAAAACAAAGTGGGAATTGAGATAAAAAAACAGAGAACACATAAATGATGTTTTCTGAGTTTTCAAGCCAAAATAGAAAATACGGAAAACGGCCCCTACTCTTTAATGAGGTCCATTCATAGAACTTCCTTAGAAGCAAAGCCTATATTTTCGTTTGTCTTAGTAATCGTCTCCTTTGCTTTGCTCTCTCTCTCTCTCTTTCTTTCTCGTCTATAGATCTCTGTTTAGATCTGTATATGTGTGTCTGTGGATAGGTGGATGTGTGTGTGTTTGATATGTACGTGTGTGTGTGTGTCTTTGTGAGTTGTGTGGATAGAGATTGAGAGGAAATAATGGAGAGAGAGAAAGAGGAATGGAGATGAAAATTGAGGGTTTTGTAAATTATTGTGTAAACAGGTTTTACAATTTTTTTTTCTTTAAAACTATTTTCAAAAACATATAACCAAACATGTTTTGTAATATAAAAATTTTTAAAAACACATTTTTAAAACTCTTCCTAAAAATTATTTTCGAAAACTACTTTTTGAGATGCAATTCAAATACGCCCTGAATTTGAAACGGGTTTGACCAACACCCAAATTTAATCGATTTGGCAATCGAGTCCTAGAACCCTAAGAGGGACTATTTATAAATCTAGACATTTTTAGTTTGAATTTTGACAATTCTTTGGGACCAGGGCATGAAAGATTTATTTTTATTAATACCCTAATCCCAGCATGGATACCCTATCTTTGACCGGACAGGGAAGGCAATTAGTGAAAATGCACATAAGTTTGATCCAGACATCTCTGACCGTTGAACTCAATATTCAGCCACTAATTCATTTCGATTTTCATTAAAGCAACAACATTTTAGTTGTTTCAATCGTTTCAAAACAAAATTAGATTATTGAGGAGGAAATTTCAGCTTCTTCTCAGGTGAAAAACATTATAAAAATGACAATCATTGTGGAGAATGCAATCCAACCCTCTTTTTTAGAGGACTTTTCAGTTATAACACGCCGTGAAGAAACCTGAGGACCTGGTGGAGATGGAAGATCTTGCACGTCCGCAGCAAGCTTCATGCCATGGACGCAGTGTCCATTGTCACTTAAGTAATAATAAGTTTTTGCTTCCAAGAGTGTAAAAATAGCAGAGCTGCGCTTAGTAATGTTTTTCAAGAAGTTTTTCTCTCTGCATTTCTCGTAGCTCGTCTTATTCACTTCCAAAATGTCGTGGTATTGGTCATCGAACCCGAAATCTTAAGTGGTAATAAGTACCCAGAAAAAGAAGGTCAGTAAAATGAAAATCAATAAAACTTCAAATTAGGCAAGGACGTGTGTTCTTATCTTCGAACTTGACTATTATTTTCCTGCATAATATTAGTTTACTAATTTGTTGCTTTGTCAGTTGTAATTATTTGAATGGTAGTAGGTCTTAATCAATATTGGTGTTCTTTGTCAATCTAATGACAGTAATTAATTTGATCAGCAAATTAGACTTCTTATTATTGAAAAAGGAAAAAACCTATGTAATTTCCACATCTATGATTATAGTGAATGCAAAATTGCATTTTGAGGAGCTATCTCTTATGAGAACAGAAATATACGTTTTGGGATTGTTTTTGAAAATTATAGTTATTTATTATGATGACATCATGTTTTTTCACGGTTACATTAACAGATATTGACGACAACGGTTACAAATTACGCGCGCACAAACGTCATGAGGTGTCGGTGTAATACTCTAAATGTGAGAGAGGTTCAATAATTAAGTGACAAATTTGAGGGGGTATAAGTGTAATTTATCCTTTTAGTTTTTGATTATTAGTTTTAGGTACACATTGATACAGATTTAAATCTTTGAGAGTGTAAATTTAAATTCGAGAAATTTTTTGGTGTAATTTGCAATTAATCCTTTTGTATTACTAATATCATTTATCTTCTGAGAATAGCTAGGGACAAAAAATAGTAATTAAACCTTGCGAAGTTTCTGTATAAAATTTACCCACACATACATATGTACAAGTTATCAAAGTTATTCATGCTATAAACAATGAGTAATAATATTTTGACTTAAAAATTTGATTTAATTTATTGATCTCATGACAATGTTATAAAGTCCAAATGAAAGAAAAAAATCTAGCATTTACTGTCATAATAATACTTTTGTTTTTTTTTTTGGGTAAATAAACATAATAATACAATTGGCCATTACTCCCATATTATTAGGTCCCAATAGCATTAGGCATATCACTAGATTGAATTTTGATCTAAATTCGACCCAAACCCGAATCAGATTAGTTAAATATGGGTTGATTTTTTTACTAATTATCCAAATTCGAATCCGAATTCTATATCTTATATTTTACAGATTTAAATTTGAATATACTTATATCTAACCCGAAATATTTATATATTTGTGTATAAATATTAAAAAAATTAATTGATTATTTAAAGAAACTTAGTTAAAATTTAGATGTAATTTGTTAAAATTAGTTACATTATGTTATTCAGATGAGATCGGATCGGATGTTAGATTGTTAACGGATTCGAATATAGAGTATGAAAATAAAATTCGTCGAATTATCGGATCAAGCTTTCAAAGTCGGGTTTGGATCCATCAAAATCCAGGCTTGATCCATTGACATGCCTAAATAGTATTACTCTTTCTTTATTGTAAGAGTAATACTATAGGGATCTAATTGGACCTACTTTAATATAATTATTAAGTTAGTTGTGAGTTTCAATGTTAGATGAAATTTAATTTTAATCTAACTGCTGTTGATTAGGTTTTCAAATTATATTTAAATAACATTTTCCTTATTGGATCACTTAACATATTAATGTTATTAAAACTTAAAAAATTGATAAAATTTATTGATCTAATGATATGATATAACATGGTCAACATGGTCCAATTGTGATGCAATGATTGCTGCTGTTAAACTTATTCATTGAAACTCTATCTGTTAACGCATCATCATGTTATTAAATTAAATTAATTTTTCATGTCCTAATGGTATTACTAGACTCAAACAATAAAAACGATAAGCAAGTGAAGAACTTACAAAGGTCATCACCAATGTAAAATTTTGACGATTCGATCATTCCGTAGAGTTGAAATTGGGCAACCAACCTCGCGATGTTCCACCAGCCAAGTGAAGGGTGGACACATATCTCCCTGCACATGTTTGCTGCCCTACCACCACCATCAACCACAAAGCTATGTTTCCCATACCCCTCTTTTCTCTCTCTCTCTCTCTCTCGACAGTATCTAGCACTCAAATAAACTCACAAACACAAAATTACGCAAGCCCAAGAATAAAACAACAAAGCAAAGAAGAGAATGAGGTCAAAAGGACAAAAAAAAAGTCTATTACTCAAAAGGGAGCCTTAGGATTCTAGCACAACTCCTAATATGGAACTAACTAATAAAAATAATAATACAATTAATGGGAGAGTTTGGGTTGGTTTTCTTCTCTCAAGACAGAGAGAGAGATATTCGATTCAGAATTTGGGAAGTGGTTTCATTATTTGCTCCAGCTAAATCTATGGGGATCTTTCTTTGGATGAAACAACAAGGGAAAGCAAACTTTCAATATGGTAACTAAGATACCTTGTATTCAGCAATGAGGAAATAGTAACATTATTTGAAACTAATTTGTTAGCCTAAAGTATCTCAATCATTAGATCGGTAGCGAATTCAAAAAAAATAATAACACTCACTGATAAATCCAATAGTTGTAATGCATTAAGTTAATTCAAACCTAGGTTTTGAGACAGTTCAAATAGTATTCCTCATAAATCAAAACTAAACATGGCAACAAAATCTGCTCTTCTGGCCGCACATTCACTGCCTTGTGGTTCGAGGAAGTTCCAGTTGTCTTCTTTGAGTTCTCTAGGGCGCTATATATACACCATTCCCAACCTTTCAGCCTCACTCTTCTAGGGTTTAGAATTCACACACACAAACACACATACATACACACACACTCACATTGTTTTAAGGGTTTAAGCATGGAGAATGGATCATCTTCAACAATGGGGGGACATCACAGAAAGATGGTGATCGAGTGAAGAAGGGTCAATGGGGAGCTGAAGAAGACGTGTGGTTGCGAAAGCTGGTGCAACGTTATGGACCTCGCAACTGGGCTCTGATCAGCAAATCAATACCGGGAAGGTCCGGCAAGTCTTGCCGGCTTCGATGGTACAATCAACTCTCACCGGCCGTGGACCACACAGCTTTCACTCCGGCGGAGGACGGGATCATTGTGCAAGGTCGTACAAATTACGGCAACAAGTGGTCGATGATTGCCAAACTCCTTAATGGTCGAACTGATAACGCGATCAAGAATCATTGGTATTCGACTCTGAAGAGGAAGAACTCACTGGCGAACATGCAGGATGCTGAAGCCGGCGGTAAGCAAGGTTCTAGACCTGAGACTGAGAGTACTTCGTCAGGAACTGATCTTAACAGTGCAAACCATCTTCCGCTTGTTTTGATGGATAAATTCAGCAACTGGGTTGAATTGAATCTATCATCTTTCCGGCAGTTTGAAGAACCGGTGCCGGACCTGAACGATCCACCGCCGGAACTGACTCTGTCTTTCGCAGTAAACTGTTCATCTGAGTGTCCAACATCGAGAAATTATTCAGGGAAGAAGTCTCGAACGAGTCAAACACTTCCTTTGAGTGCAGGGCTAATGTCTGTGATGAGAGAGATGATCCAGAAGGAAGTTACGAATGACATGGCGGGACTTGAAGGTGGTGGAATAAGTTTGCAGAGTCATATCGATTACAAAGAAAAAAGACTGGAATAGAGTTTGAATTGGGCAGCTTCAGAATGTCCTGCATTTTCACTGATGTGAATGGACGTCGCCACTAGCCACTGTGTTAAGCTTTTACACATAAATAGGTTCTAATACATGATTTTTTTGTCATTTTTGTTTAGAAATTCATTGTTTTTCAATAAGCAACAACAACACGAAATTTTATTAAGGCAGAATATGCAAGAGAATGAGAGATATGATGTCTTTAGACACTTTTTTATGTCCTGTTTAACAACTAAATATTAGATCTAACAATTATATTATGTCAGTAATGTTCATGTTTGTTTACTTATTAATGAACTAGTTATTGTTTGTGCTTGAAAGTAGAATAATAAAAAAATAGTAAACAATAAACATATTTGTATTCATATCAAAAATAAATCATAAACATAAGGAGAGATAAATTAATTTTAGCATCGGTTATGGTGGGGTGAAAGGTGATGGGCGGCAGTGGTGGTGGTGGTGGTAGGAGATGGTGAATGTTGTGGTGGGTGGCAATGACCGTGGTAGTGATGGCAACGACGACAGTGGTGGTGGTGGCGGCAATGATGATGGTGCGACGGTGGTGCTGACGGTGGCAGTGGCGGCGACGAAGGTGGTGGTGATAGCGGTGGTAAAGGTAGTGGTGGTGGTAGAGGTAGTGATGATGCAGTTTCAAACACTATTTTTTTTTAAAGTACTTATGAAAAATAATTTTAAAAGTACTTTTAAAAAGTCACTTTAAACACACCTTTAGGGCCTTATTTTTCATATTAAATTTAGGGTGTTAATATTAGCCGTTAGATTAATTTTAAAGTAAAATTTAAAGCGATTTGAACTGCAAAAAACAAAAGTCATTTTTTTTATCTTTTGAACTTTGAATTATAAGCTATTTTATTATATAGATGGTTACAAAATATGACAATATTGATGTGATGTAATGGTTATATCAAATATTTTTTTCTTGTTTAATGGATAGGTGAATAAATGACATATGCCAATAAGTATTAAATTTAAATTTAGGACTGGAGGACCAATGGGTAGTCCTAGACTCTTCAACGGTGTTCGAAACTATGGGTCTGTTTGGTTTGTGTTTCAAAAAATAATATCTGAAAACAGTTTTTTAGAAGAGTTTTAAGAATGTATTTTTATAAATTTTTAGATCTCAAACTCTGTTTGGTTATATATTTTTGAAAATAGTTTTAAAAAACAAAAAATAATAAAATTTGTTTGGATAATGATCCATAAAATTAATTTTTAACTTATCACTTGTGATAAAAAAAAAAAAAAAAAACCTTATCACTCTAGTCAGGCAGTCACTCCAGTCAAGCTTCTCACCCAGCAACTCTCTCTCCATTATCTTCTCACACAGCAACCATTTCCCTCACCCAGCAAACCTATCGGCTTCTCACCTAGCAAGTCTCCCTCTCTCTCCATTGTCTTCTCACCCAGCAAAAACAAACACACAGAACCATATATACACACACACACACAAAGCCATATATATACACACACACACAGACACACATACATATACATCAGATAATACATATGTATATATATATATATATATATGCACACACACATAGATTTGACAGATCTATTGCGCAGAGACAGAGAGAGAAAGAGGAGAAGATGAACACCGAAGAAGAGAAGATGATGAATAGCCGGTCACCATTTTTGTCTCCAATGAAATTCGAAGGGGAGACCTCATTAATTTGAAGATAGTTGTTTCCCTTATTTTCATTTTGCCTTAGAAAACAATGAAAACATCATTTTTTTTGTTCTCTAAAATCATATCTCAATTCTCAGAATTTTTAAAAAATTAGAGAATAAAAAAGTTAAACAAACAAGTTTTGGGTATTTTTGAAATTTTGAAAACAAAAAACAGTTTTGAAACCTAACCAAACACACCCTATGATTCTTTGTTTTACAATTTCATTGGTTGGAACAACGATCTTAAACAAGGCTCCATCAACTAATAGAAATGATAAATGATTGAAAACAAGACCAAGGCAAACACCAAACAGTGATAAATAATAAAATTTTTGTAAATAATAATCTATTAAAAACGTTCAATATAAACATCGTTCATTCCGTTGGCAGAAAATTTTTTGGCGTTTTAAACGTCAATAAGTGAAATTAGGCTAGACTCTAGTAACTGAAAACACTATTCCTGATGTTTATTTAAACGCTGATAATATTTTTATTTTTTTTGCGCATTTCAACAAACCTATTCTCTAAAATCATGTATTAAAAATGCAATGCATCCAACTAATTAGCCAATTTAGATCCACAAAATCCACCAACTAGTAAACATCATTAGATTGTACGTTACCTAGCCAAAACTCTACCCGAGAGAATTTGATGATGCCTAAAGTAAATCCCAAGTGTTAGCTCAGGAGTTCAGCTCAGACCGGGAGGTCAGCCATATTGTCAGAGGTCAGAAGGCAAGGACTGAATGTCTCTTGAGGCAAGACAACGACTGGATAACCACGAGAGGTTCCTAAAGCATTAGGAAACTATAATCAAGACACCTAATCTCAACCAACCAAGATCTTCTCTTAAAATTAAGGAGAACCCCACGAAATAAGGATAAGAATCTCGGCCAAGATCCCATTGAATAGGAAACAACCTTATAAATACTATGTAACGCCCCCAAGAAAAAGGGGGGACCCTAGAGGCAAAAAATAGTCATTGTACTATTGTAATCATCATTATTGAAAGGCAAGGAGCAAGAGTCTCAATTGAAGAGTGGATTAGCCAAGCTCCCGAGCTGGTAAACCACTATACTTCTACTGTGTAAATCCTCCCAGCCCCTAGAAAAATATTTCTTTAATTATCACATCACCATCACTGCAAAGCATAATTACGATTCATTACTCATACAATTTGATTTACACCATCAGTTTGGCGCCCTCTGTGGGGGACCGTAGAGGCAAAAAATAGTCATTGTACTCTTGTAATCATCATTATTGAAAGGCAAGGAGCAAGAGTCTCCATTAACGAGTGGATTAGTCGAGTTCCCGAGCTGATGAACCACTATACTTCTATTGTGTAAATCCTCCCAGCCCCTAGAAAAATATTTCTTTCATTATCACATCACCATCACTACAAAGCATAATTACGATTCATTACTCATACAATTCGGTTTACACCTTCAATTTAACGCCGTCTGTGGGAACGACTGTTCCAGTTACAAGTAATGCTTTTTTTTTTTTTTGTGACTGATGGTATCAACGCGAAACATGAGCAGAAGTCAGATCAATCCTCTATGGATGCAAGATCAACAGAAAGCCCCAAATAGCGGACAACCCGAAAATGCGTAAGAAGTCGATCCCCCCATTGGGGCCTTCCCATGAATAATGAGATGGAGGCCCTTGGTCTTGTCAATGAACGTATGATAAAACAGAACGAAGAGCTTTTAAAGCTCCTATAACACCCATAGGAGGCGCGATCGGCCCAAGGAGGCCAGAATTATCCATCACCAAGGGAGCAACCGTATCTCGACCCCCTTAGAGAAGTTAATGAGGTAGGAGAGAATAACCAGACCTTGGGGCAAGAACCTTGCATATCCCCTAGGAATGATCACAACGAGGAAGTGCAAAGTCAGTATAAGGAAGGGGAAATGAGCTATTTCTTCCCTTATCAACAGGAGAGAAGAGACCACCACTGGGAACAACATTTCAAAGACATCCAACAAGAGCTCTACCAGATGAAGGAGGCAGTAAAGAGCAAGGCCCTAGTCACTATGGATGCCTTGGTGCAGCAAATCGAATCTCCATTCACTGCTGGGGTGCTGCACTTCCCTCTCCCACCTAAATTCAGAATGCCGCAAGTGGATATTTTCGATGGGACAAATGATCCCGTGGACCACCTCAACACCTACAAAAACCAAATGGAGTTGCATGGATATCAAGATCCAGTGAGATGCAGGGCCTTTGCTATCACCTTGAAGGGCTCAGCCTTAACATGGTTTAACAGACTCCCCCAGCCTCAATTTCCTCTTTTAAAGAGCTGTCAATCTCGTTTGTGTCCCACTTCATCGAAGCTTGGACCTATAGGAAACCGAGCTACCATTTGTTAAATGTGAAACAGGGACTTGATGAGAACCTACGGTCTTATGTCCAACGGTTCAACTCAAAATCCTTGAAGGTGGATGTCATAGACGAGAAATTTGCTATTACAGCCTTCATAGCAGGTCTGGGAGTTCAGTCAAAAGATCTGATGTTTTCCTTCTCAAAGAACCCCCAGGCTAGTATGGCAGAGGTGCTTGCCAAAGCAAAAAAGTACATAAATGGTGAAGAAGCGCTCCTCTCCAAGGTCGGGAGCTTTTCATTGAGAAAAGATAAAAGGAAGGAAGAAAAGAAGAGAGAACGAAGTCCCAGAAAGGAAAGAGAATGAGGCAGGTCTCCAAGAAGAGATAGAGAGCGTTCCCCGAAGAGAAGAGAAATGTCAGGGATCGCCTCAGCCCTCCACAACCAGAGCTACAACCGAGGTATGCACCCCGACAGCTCACTCCTCTGACTGCTACAGTGTCTCAGATACTGTATGAGGTGCAACATGAGAAGTTCTTAAGGTGGCCACCCCGGATGAAAGCAGACCCGGCAAAAAGGGATCCTACGAAGTATTGTGACTTCCACAGAGACCATGGTCATCACACCGACGACTGTATCCAATTGAAGAAGGAAATAGAATTTCTAATCCAACAAGGGCAACTGCGGCGCTATATGGCCAATGATAATCAAAATCGAGCTCTCCCACCTCCACCCCCTTAGCGTCAAGCACCAGAGCCACACCAGCAACCTATGGGGGAGATTAGAGTGATATCTGGAGGATTTGCCGGAGGAGGAGGGTCCAGCTCTGCCAGAAAGGCCCACTTGCGAAAAATCAGAGCCATAGAAGCTCCCGAAGTATATACTGTGTCTAAGTCTCCACGCTTAGACACAACTATCACTTTCTCAGATTCGGATCTAGAGGGCTGCCAACATCCCCATGATGACCCTTTGGTG